GCTAGAGGTGGTGGGTTCAAACCCAGCCCAAGCCATAAAAAAAAAAAAAAAAAACCTGTCTCTACAAAAATTACACAAATTAGCCAGGCATAGTTATGGGCACCTATAGACCCAGTTACTCAAAAGGCTAAGGCAGGAGGATCAACTGAACCCAGGAGTTTGAGGTTGTAGTGAACTATGATGATCCCACTGCACTCTAACCTCAGCAACAGAACAAACAAAAACAATAACAAGGCTTGGCGCCTGTGGCTCAAGTGGCTAAGGCGCAAGCCACATACACCTAAGGTGGTGGGTTCGAATCCAGTCTGGGCCCACCAAACAACGATGGCTGCAACCAAAAAAAAATAGCCAGGCATTGTGGCAGGTGCCTAGGCTGAGGCAAGAGAATCGCCTAAGCCCAGGAGTTGAAGGTTGCTGTGAGCTGTGTGATGCCACGGCACTCTACTGAGGGCGATAAAGTGAGACTCTGTCTCTACAAAAAAAAAAAAGAAAAAAGAAAAAGAAGACATTGTTCTTAGTGATTCGGGCTAGAAAGAAAAGGAGAGATAAAGTGGATACAGTGTGATTCCACATACATGAGATCTAGAATAGGTAGAGACAGAGAGTAAAGCATGGTGCCAGGAGTCTGCAGGGAGAGGAAAGGGGTTGTTGCTCCCTGTGTACAGAGCTCAGTTTGGGAAGATAGAAGAGTTATGGAGATGGATGGTAGTGATAACTGCACAATGATGAGTATACTTAGTGTCATAGAACTGTACACTTAAAAATGCTTAAATGAGGGCTGTGCCTCTGGCTCAAGGAGTAGGGTGCTGGCCCCTTATACCCAGGGTGGCGGGTTCAGGCCTGGCCCCTGCCAAAAACTGCCAAAAAAGCTTAAATGAGGGCAGCGCCTGTAGCTCAGTCAGTGAGGACACTGGCCACAAACACCTAGGGTAGCAGGTTGGAACCTGGCCTGGGTCTGCTGAGCAACAATGACAACTGCAACCAAAAATAGCCAGATGTGGCTCGGTGCCTGTGGCTCAAGTGGCTAAGGCACCAGCCATATACACCTAAGGTGGCGGGTTCGAATC